GAGAGAATAAATCTCAGATAAACATTGTATTCTTATGATTTTCTCTTCGTTTTGACCCCGGCTAAATTATGAGTTTTAGAAAGAACATATAGGGGCAAACGAATTATGTCAGGCTTGTGTTTTTAAACGTGGTGTCTATTCGCACACTTTTTGTGGGCTTGGGGCTGTCCGAAAAGTTTAGTTATGTAATAGTCATTGGAATAGCAATTTTGTTGTTGTTGTTGTTGTTGTTTTGTTGTTTTGTTTATTATTATTATTAATTATTATTATTGTTTCATTATTCACAGTATCTACTGGTACGGTAATGTCACCACACACAGGAAGATAACCAGGTGTGGTGGTTGCTTTCTAAAGGGTTCAGATGGTTCTGACAATACGGCATGTATTCCAAAATTACACATTTTGGCATATTATATACATTCCTGGCTCCAAGTGAAGAACCGCAGTGCCGAAGTGTCATTTTTGGGATCATCTGTGCTGATATTATTATAAGGAGCAGTTGTCACTTACTGAAAGTTCGACTGGAGAAGCGACATTCGTGGGAGGATCGGTATCTCTAGTCTTCTCTTGATATTTTCCCCGATTATGTGTGGTTATTGAGTATTGATTTATATAGATAAGGGAAAAACTGCTGATGGTTTTTTAGGAATGTGGTTATATGGGTCCTATTGCCGCGACATGTGTGTAAGTGATAATGGAGCGATCCGCGTGAGTGTGTGCTACATATTTCAAGCAATTCTGAGCAATATTTTATAATACGGTCACGGAAGTGGGAGTAAGCGCGTTTCACGCCAATAATTTGGTGGACCTGCTTTCGCCACTTATTCATGGCTCTTTTTGTATTCCAACTGTGCGTGCTGCTACATCCATTTGTCAGTGATTGGATAGTTTCGTTGGCGCTCACATCTTTAACGAGATCGGAATAATGGGTAGAAATATCTAGAAATGTGTTTTCTGTAGTTAATGTTGGTAACACTTGGTCCTGGTAGATATATGAAGGCTTCTGTTCACGAAAGAATTGATTGTTGGTTGTTTGTTGTTATGATTTTATATTATTATTATTATTATTATTATTATTATTTTATTATTATTATTATTATTATTATTATTATTTTATTTTATATCGCTAGAGTGAAGCATGTTAGATACGTAATTAAAAGAAATCATTTAGTACGAGACTGTTGTTTAGCAGTATGCTCCAGCTGTCTCAAAGTCACATGAGTCGGGCGCGAAGAGATGTTGAGACCGGCTTGGGCTTCTGCGCCTCTTAGTATATTTTTACTCAATGCGTTTTGGAGTGGCTGCTTTAAACCACGAAGTTCGGCGCCTGCTGCTTGGCCGCTACCGCGGCAAGCTTCGCAATTCTGCAGGAGCATTCTATCCTGCTACATGGTAGCACATTTCTTTTACATTTGATATATTTTTCCTCGCCCCAACGAGGGATACAGGTTTGTTTCTCAGTGTAAAATTAACTCCTTATAAATTCCTATTACTTTACTTTCCATTTTGAAACCTCTACACACACACGTACGTCGCAATAAAACGATATTTAACGAACTCAAGCTCTCGCCGAGATAAACTGCAGCACAAAATACAACGAATGATGAGAAAACTCCTGACACTGATTAACAAAGCACATTCGATTCGCGCGTACAGAAGCGCGTTTGAACTCGAAATTCGGTGCCGCTGTGTAAGAGCAGAGGAATCAGCGATTATTTATGCGAAAAATATCCGTCAGATATTCTAACAAGAAAGGCTTTTGGGTGAACCGCAAAATAAATTTAAGGTACTTGTATGTGTCGGATTAGAATTCCGAACTTTATCAGGCACCGGTAAACCGGTCTAATATTAGGCACACGCTGAAGCAAGTAGAGAACCTTATAGCAAAAATGTGAAGAACGAAGCAAAGAAACATGAATAATATACATTCTAAATAATTTAGTCATAACACGCTTAAGACACTAAAGTCGAATCACAGGATTTTCATAGCGGGAATTTCAATTAGACGGCAATTTTTAAGGAAGTATCACATTTTCAAAAAAATAGCTGACCATTATTTAAAGATATGCCTTTTGTTGATAGCATTTATTAAGAAAACAAGTGCTTCATAATATAGTTGTAGGGAGAATGCGAAAAATTTTTTGAATATTATAAATTTTCCAATCAACATGAATTACACCATTCTTCTTTAAACGTCTTCAGACTATCACAACAAAGTTTCATAAAAACATGGACCGTTTTTTTGAGAATGTGTAACAAAAATTAAAAATGGCATTGCCGAAAATTTACCGAATGTTCGGCAGGATTTACCGACTTTCTCTTCTTTAGCGAAGAGAAGTAAAAACTTGGAATTACGAGAATTTCACTTTTATTGCAATATTCGCCAATTTTGCTTTACTGGCATTGAAAACGTAGCGACGTTTCATTACATTAATGATATACTATTGTTTGTCAAGAAAACGCGGAATACATTTATTATTATTATTATTATATATTATTATTATTATTATTATTATATTATTATT